TTTGCGAAACTTTGAAGAAACTCCATCTGCGGTAGCGTGCGTTCTTGACTGTATTATTAGAGGGTGTAATGATTGAGGCAAGGTTAGAGCCGTGGAGAATGTTAAAGCAACAAATTTTATGAGGTTATTTTATTCAAAGCAGTTTTTTCCAAAGTAGGCGATAACGCCCCCTGGTGGGCGATGTAAGCCTCATAGAGTCAAGAAAACAGGGTGTTGTAGAGGCGATTTTTTAAATAATACTTTTTGCCGAGATATCATCATACGATATGATTTCTGAGTGTCAGACTCTTACTGCCTAAAAATTTAAATCATCTTGTACCATCTCCTGCTCCGGGCTTTAACTTATTTTTTTTATTTATTAAAATAGGAGCCATTGATTTTTTGTGGGCAGTAGCAAAATAAGTTTGGTCTGATTCAAAGGATGTAATTTGACTTTTCTATCTACAACCCTGTATATCTAAAGTCTGAATTTTGAGACGTTTTATTCCAAAATATCTCTTTGTTTTGTATAACATTTCACGTGACAAATATTAATTATAAGTATGTACCTATAACAGCTTAGATCCTGTAAATGTTTGTCGAACGCATTCGGCTAGTGTTATAGACGTTCGTCGCGTCGTGTATCGCGCGTCGCTCATCGCTAGTCATGATTTTGAGCCCCTACTGTAGCATGTAACTAGTCGAACAATGACTACCATAATAGGTATACCTAATCAAGTTAATCAACTTAATCAAGTGGCCCAATCCTTCCCCTCCCCCGATCCCTCCCAATCCAAAAATTTATGTATGCGTTTTATTAATAGTAAAATCCAAGTTATATATATATCTAACATATGTTAGTATAACGATATATAAAAATCTGATAAAACAACGTTATTTATCCTTTAATCGTTAGCATGTAGGTACCGATAGCGTTTTTAATTTTAATTTCCTAGTAAAGGATTTATTTGTACGTTATAGGTAATAATCTTGAGTGGAATGGCTGTTGTCTGTGTTACGCCCTATGTTACGTATTACAATCTTTATAAATAATTATCGTTATAAACCTGTAACAGAACAGCATTATGAACAAGTGTAGCACTTGTTCATAATGCTGTTCTGTAGGAAGGTTTGCCGTTGCCTACATGTATAAATGTAGTAACCTTGTATGAATGTAGATCTAAGAAAAATCTAAGCCAAATGCACTTTCTATTGTGTCTCATATAATAGCAGATGAGAGATTAATAGGCTAATCACAAAAATATAAAAACAAAATAACATCGTTTACATGCATAAAAAACAAAACAAGATGACTCAAAGTCTTAAATAAAACAAGTTTGAGAAAGCTGATATGTGTATAAGAAAGTTGTTTTACTAATACTGTCTTTCTATAGACACTGAAGTCAATGTAAAAACATTTATTTTATTACTTTTGAAGCGTCAAATACCAAACAGGAGAAGTGATCAATTAGAGAAGCTAGGTGCTCGTTTCAAAATGTAGATTCAAGTGAAGAAGAACGAGCAAGAAACATCATCGTAAAATATTTATTTATTTATTTATTATTTACCTACTTCAAGATTGGGCATATGCTTATGTACAAGCAAAACAGTGAAATTACGATGCGCAATGGGGTTATGGTTTTGAGGTTTTTGGGGTACCTATTGTGTTTGCTATTTCTTAGTATACTTATTGCCTCATGTATACAAAAGTATATTACTGATTGCGGTGAATAGCCACTATTTGTAAAGGATTCATTTAAAATCTTTAATTTGTTTATCCGCCAAATTATTACTTATATGTATTGTTTTAATCTTTAACGTTCGTAGGGAAATAGCAATAATAGTTTCGTGTTTAAACCATATTACATGGGTATGTAATAAGTGGAGGAAATTCATCATCATTAGCCAAAATACTTCCATTGGAGAACAAGTCCTCTAAACAGAGGTTTTGGCAATCTTTACACTTGCCACAGGGTTTGGAGATTACAATTTGATAACTGAAAATTTAAAGAATGCTCATTGGTCTTGTCCTTCTCTTTATGGTTAGTCACATCTTGTGTAGGTACTTACCTAATTTGAAATAAAAACGAAACTATTCTTAATTTAAATATATTTAAATAACGACATTTGCACACTTACGACTTTTTAAATTTCGTACGTAATAGACTCTTGCAAAGCCCCTAGTTTTCTTAAACTATTTAGTTATAAGTATACTTATACGAATTCCTTTTTATCTATGTAACTTTTATTGGAATAGAAAGTCTAAACTCAACCTATTTACCATACTTGCTTTATGGTAAAGTAACATTTTTGTTGTAAAGTTACACATCGGTACCTATTCCTATAAGATGCTAAAGACAGTACCATTTATGTGGAGAACCACATTATTATCATGTTTCCAACAAGTAATATCTATATTACCTTACCTAAAGTAACTACCTACCTTTAAACCTTACCTGAAAAATATATAAAGCGTATTTTTTTAAGACTGCTAATTCAATTTGAATCAAGAACAAGGGCATCGAACGTAAGATCGTTGACCTTATAAATCAGATATAAGTACGCTTAAAATATATTTACGAAAAAATATATTTATTTAAAATTAAAATAAAACATTTGTGGCTCCCTTCATAATAATTAAAATATTTATTTTTTATCAAAATACAATACAAAACACGATGAAAAAGAAATGAGATAGGTAGATAGGTACCAAAAACAAAAATGAAATTAACTAAAAATGTATACACGTACCTTATTTTTTAACAGAATCCACTGAGCATCAAAGCGTATCGAACTAAAATAAACAATTAATCACAATATTCCCGCGGAGTGCGTATAGTATGCGCGTGCGCCTGCCACTGACTGCGCTGCTCTACTCTCCGGCTTTCTCCGATAACGGTAAACCCGACGCTTTTCCCGTACCTTGCCGTGAGACGTTGGAATAAGTGCATACCTGTTTCTAGGTTAGTTTGAATGGATTGGAGACCTCCAACATTGACAATCAGTGTTTGAGAATATTTTTTCCATTGAGTTTTTCTTAACCCACCTACTTAGGTATGGTTAAGTTAGGAATAAATGGTAAATATTATATTCGATATTCGTAATATTAGAAAATATTTAAAGCTATTGTCTATATTTTTAGTAAGAATTTGCTGACTTCGAGACAAACTGAAAACAAGCTACTCATCAGAAGAAACGAGAGAGTAAACAGGACATGAAAGATGATGTTAATTCACTGATAATATATTCCAGAATCCAGAAAACAAAACACTAATGCCAATTCATATATGATTAAAATATGGCTAAAACAATAACATAATCACCTAACCTGAAATGCTATATGAGTCTACTCACATTAATATGCAATCAAAACTATACCTAGCTTAGTACATATGACGGACACGCATTTGATTTGATTTGATTTGAAGTGAAAGTTGAATGTTCTACACACGAAAGTGATGACCGATAACCATGGGATTTCTCGGTCAAGGTTTCTTCAGATTTATTCTTGTTTTATTTGTTTACATTGCCACAAAGAAGAAGCCAATTCAATGGTGTACCTTGTTGAAACATTGCAGCATTACTATATTGGATATTTGTAACATTTAATTGATAGACCGTTCACCTCAACCTCAACTAATGTTCAAAGATAAACTCTTCTTTTCGTTCAATGATTTTTTTTAAATTTCGAATGTTGTCCATTCATTTTGTTTGTGCACAAGACTTACATATGTGTGTTCATTAATTTATTTGCCTTTTACTTTACGACCGCAACGTAAAGTTCAAATTTATCTGTTCATACTAATGTTTTTTTTAAACTACTTGATGAAATCGCTGTAAGCTTGATTGTCAAGCAGTTTATCCTATGTTTCTCAAAGTAGACTTTCTATATTTCTCATTTATTAGTAACACATTGAGTATACAAGTCGTGGTGGCCTGGAGGTTAATAAAAAAAAATTCACCCATTTCTAAGTTTTATACACTTTCTAAGTGTATCTAGACACTGCTGACAAACATTGAAGAAATAAACCTGTACTTTATAATTTACAATATTATAAGTTTCAAGTCACCATTTCACCTCGAGCAAACCACCTTCTCCATGATAGGAGCATTTGCAGTGGTCTCTTATAGGCTGATGATGATGTGAGGGCTTATAGAATAGCACTTCGGTGGGGATCGGACATCAAAAGATATTCTGTGCCTTACTAGCGGACCTCTGATAAACATGGAGGACCTACCGTTAGCCTGTTTTTTAGAGATGAATTGCATACAGAATGACTGTTGTTCACTGAAGTTTGTTTTAGTGACGAGATTTCAGATTTCACTTTAGATAAAATAAATGAAATCATAGATCGGATATGGTTGACTACGGGATGTTACGGTACGTAATTATTTAGCTGATAAATCACTTGCGTTATTACCACCATCCTCTGCCCTTCAGACGTAGGTAGATAGTTGTAAATGATTTTATCCGCTTAGAAAGAGATTTTAGAGGGATCTCCATTTTATTTGTATTTATGTTCGTTGGTATTTAGGGTTTTTTTTTGTGAGGGGAAGGTCATCAAAAACTTCTCCCGCCCGGCGGAAGAGGTGTCAGACTCTTACTGACTAAAAACCCCCTGTTCCTTCTCCTGCTCTGGGCCGAGGTCGCGGTGCCTCATTGCGCTTACCCGCAACCACGGCTAAAAGGTATACATATATACAGGGCCTTTTGGCTTCTGCTGTTTTAAAAATTAGTTGTTATGCCATAGGTACTGTAGGACATTCGTGGTCTACAAAAGAGGACTTTCTGTTAGAGACTGATTTAAAAGTTTGCCACAATTTTTTAAAAGCTTTAATGACTGTCATAGGCATCACAGTCGAGACAAATAAATGATGAAAACTTACAAAACTTTTATGTTTATAACAAACAAAAATAAACCGAATATTAATTCCTTAGCACTTCGACTAGGTAACCAAATAAACTAATAATAGAAAAACAAGTTTCAAAAAAAAAACAGCAACAATCAGGAAACACTTACGTTGGTCGTCATTTGTGTCAAATAAACCACAAGATAACGTGTTGAGAATCCGTGTTAAGATTTCACTCTCGATTATCTACTTAAAAACACGATTACTATTTTATGTGTGTTAAACACAGGTCCTGCCAAACTATCCTCTAGATTGCGTCTGCGCAGACATAATACTAATAGCAATTGTCCCCTAAGCTACAACTGTAGTGGGACAATAGATTTAGATAATTTTGTCTGCGACTTCATACAAATAAGTGTAGAATATTACTTATAAAACATAGTTACTGATAAAACAACGTAACTAACGAGAAATGTAGAAGGAAATCACGAGCAAATTTTTTTTATGTGACGTCCTATCACAAAAACTAGGAAAGGCAAACGAGCTGTCGGATTACCAGATTGTAAGCAATCAGCGTTGCCCACCCGCCACAACGGTGGAGTTAAGAGAGCTTTAAGAAGGATTAAGGATTTGGAGATTTTGGGATTGGGGAAGGGGAAGGATTGCCTTTACCTGTGCGTTTTTCTATTGTTTAGTCAACTCTGGTCTCTTATTTTACATTGGACACGGAAATTCCGGTACCAGTTTGCTTTGAGTATCTAACAGAAGATTTTATAAGTTTGACTTTCTAATAGTAAGTATCTTATAAGAAAGTGGAAAAATTATTCCTTTTAATCAAAATTTAGATAATTTTAATTAATATATATATTTGTATGAAGCGGCCATATTACAAATATCGCGATATAACACCTAATTTGTATTCCAGAGCGACAAAACTCTCATTACCTGAGGCCGCACGTGCCACTGTAATGCCTTCGAGCTGGCACTGCGCATGCGCAGGTCGGTCTGCCCCGTGCATATTGGAACTATATTTAAATGGGTTTAGTAGTTTTGTAGTACCAAGTGCCAAGCGTTTAGATTATGAGTGGTTTTAATTAGAGTTGGGCTATACTATTTTTAATAGTAACTATCAGAATCTTGAGTCATACGACTTATCCGTGTGAACAAACTGAGAAAAGCTCGACTAGTTTCAAGTCACAACGGGACTTGAAACTAGTCAAGCTTTTCTCAGAGTCCAGGAATGGACTGTGTGGCTGTTTGACTCTTTTGGTGGAATTCTATCGAAATTACTTGGAATTTTCTGATTACAGTTTTTAATATCATCGGACTTTTATTTCCATTGATGTGTTAGCGTTATAGGTACAAACAAAACGAAATTCATAAAAGCTTTTTAAAATTGGTAATTGTATTCAATATTTTACGATCAGTTTCACTCCGTAGATACATTTGTTGCATTCGTCGACAAGTAATTTTCTGGAATTACCATACAATATTATGGGGGCCATGTAACCATGTTCGACACGGGTATTTTGTCACAGCAAGCATGAAACATGGTGTTACGTAAATAACTATTGTAAACAATAGGTTTTGTAAAGAGCTATGTTTACGAAAATGTTGCTGAAACTAACAGAGACTTATGAGTTTTCGTGGTTAGACAAATTTAAAAAGTCAATATCACACATCATCAGCCTATAAGTGCCCACTGCTGAGCAAAGACCTCTTTTCATATGGTGAAGGTTTGAGTTTTAATCACCATGCTTGTTCCAGGCGGATTGGAGATTTCAAACTTATAGTTAGAAAATATAAGACCAGGTTTACTCACGATTTCACGATTCCTCTATCCTCCTCACGCCCCAGCCGCCGCAGTAGGCGACATTCTGGGCGTCAAAGATCGAATGACGATCTCCCGCCACCGTAAGAGCGGGTCTGCGGACGACGAGTAAGGGTTACTCGAGCCCGATCAGATCCAGACCCGAACGGAGGGCGCGTAGCGTTCCGCGCGTGCCTCAAAGAGCCAATAGACCACCACAGACGGGGCCCTAAAGGGCTGATGTTCAGCCGGGGTTGCGGGTTAAGCGCAATCAGTCACCGCGGCCAATTAATCATAGAAAGTATATTTAACTGTGATGTGAAATAGTCACATTGGTACTTGCCAGGCTTCGTACCCGCACCCTCGTGCATGAAAGGTGGGTGCATTAACCTCCAGGCCACCACGATGAAGGGTCCAGATTTACTTTTGTAAATTTTGCAAATTATTTCCCAAAGCATCCAAGCAAAGGTTGATTGCAGACTATAATTTTTAATAGTTACCGTTTTTCGCTACTTAATTGTAATGATAATAAAAAATAACTTTAAAATCGTAGGTAAGAGAATGCAGTTTTGAAAGTAGAGCGCATTGGATTAAGTTTGTACTTTCCAAGGTTGCATAGGACACTATCCGAGTTGTTCATTTGACCATAGCTATAGTATGTAAGTACTTACTGTTTAAGATCTAAAAAAGGAATTATTATTATGGCTTCCTGATGTTAAGTTGTCTAATTAAGTATTCATTTATTTCCAAAAAGTTAGTTTTCGTTGTTTATATCGTGTGAGTGAACTTTTATTGATAATCTATACTTGCCAACATTTTTTTGTTCTATCACAGAGAATTTGGCCACAAACCCTGTAAAAAAATATAAAATCGCAATTACGTTTTTTTATGTTTTTATTGATGGTGGCTCAACCATTTTTTCAGCTGATCCAGCCAGATGCAATGCAAAAGGTATGAGATATTTAAAGGATTTACTAACGAAACCTCCTTCCATAAATAATTTATTGTGCTTTGTCGTTTTTATAAAACATTGACTTATTTCTATAAAACGAGGTGGCGAAAGTTCAGAGAAACATTATAGTAACCATAAACAAAAACTCTTTTTCTACGTAGAACAATTTTCTTTTTCATAAATAAAACTACTAAATGTTTTGTTACTTTGTCGCATTCAAGCAGAAGAGCCATGCTTCGGCACAAATATGCTCATTGCGGCCATGCCTCGGCACCATAGAGGAATAATCCGTTCGGCACAAATATCCCGGCTTGATCGGAGTGATACCACGGCCTCGTAGATAGTCTGCGTGAAACAAAGCATGCGTTGTATTTCACAGAGTGAGTGAGTGTACCGGAGGTTCATCCATCCCCAATCCAAAATATCCTTAAAAAAATGTAAAAGATTTTTAGGAAACGATTCCATAATTTAATGAGCTGTGTGAAAGTCTTCTCTGTAGTTATTCAGTTAGACTTTGATTACCATAAGACTTTCGCTTTCATATTCCTAGAAATAAGAACATTGGACCTTTGTAAATGGTTTTTTATGGTTTAAAACACTTATTTCTTTTTAAATAATGAGAATAGAGCAAGGTATTTATAAGAATGTTTCATAAGTTCTGCTTGGAGTATTGCTTTCATTTCTAAACGGTCGGCTCGGCTATACACCAGCTAAGCAAAATGTCATCGCTTCATGGTGTATATCCCGCCCACAAGCACTAAGCGATCTTCCTGGGTGTCTTCAAGGCCCGAGTAAATAGAGGTTGCTTATGGGTAGACGTGTTCCATCGTACTTAGGTCGCATCATAGCTTACCACCAGGCGTGATAGAAACCAAATGCATGTCCATTATTAAATAATAATAAAAATGTTTACTTATATCTTATATTTATTTCAGATCATATTGGCAGTAAAGACGTTGGTTTTAATCAGAAATATGCTCACGGCCGATGAAAAAAAAAAGCAATCGAGAGGATGTCTTTAACGAATTAAATATCCTGTCAACATTTATTTCTATCAACCTGCAAACGTACAGAGCGCGTACCTACATAGATAGGTTTGTATAGTTTTACAATTACGTATACTTGCGTACATACATATGTACAAGTCACACTTATGTAGAATGTAGCAGCTAGCTGTTTGTTTAGAAATTCGGCGGCAAGAGGACAAAATTTTGGCGTTTGTTTTACGTAACAAGGCATCAAAAAGGGTTGGTCGCATCACCTTGTGACTTTAACCTTTGAATCGTGGTAATTCGAGACACAATAGTAAGACTAAATAAATCGCGGGTTACTCGCGTCTATAAATTAAGAAAAGCTCTACTATAAATTAACTAAAAATCATTATTAAAAAATTCGTTTCGAACCACAGAGGCTGCGCAGATATCGCCGCGTCTGCGCACGCTGCTCATGAGGAAGAACCCCTCTGTGGTTCGAAACTAGTAGATTTTTAGTTAATTTAGTATGTCTAACGATAGTTATTATAAAAACACAATAGTAAGACTGCAGTTACTTGGGGTTTGTTGAGTAAAGCTATCAGCGTCGTCCATAGACAACCACAGGTAGAACAGCGGTAACACTAAAAACTACTACCTAATACGTTGCCATTTTGGGGTCAAGGACTTGAGTAAGGTGAAGGTAAGGACTGAATTAAATTCAGTTACCCAGCTAAACATAAACATGAGAAGGCAAGGGGTGGTTTTTACTTTTTTAGTCAAAAATAGTCTGACACTGACACTCACCACGTCAGAAGTTGCGATAAGTTTTTTCGCAAATAAATATTGTTGCCCCTGTTTTTTGTGAGGCCGTAGCATCATTCCAGTCGAGCCGATCTCAAAAAGTATCCACATGATATTAAGTAAGTATGTAACAAGATCACCAATCGATTCAGATTAGAGGCGCCCTCTAGTGAAGAAACTGCATAATACATCAAACATAAATTTGCTGAACACGAATACTGTCGGCGAAAACTTGTTACTAATTTAAGTTGCCAAGTTCGAGTTATTTAGCGCAGATGGCGTTAGTGTACACAAAATACTAAAACTAACATAGTGCAATAATTTTATTTTGGTATATCTAAGTACTGAAATAATGTGTTTGATTAGGTTTGGCCTTGTTAGGACAAGTATCTTATTTCGTATTCAAAAGATTTGTTAGTTTTAAAGAATTTAACAAAAGGCAACCCTAATTTAAATTTTGATTAGATATTTATGAGTAACTAGCTCTTACCCGCGGCGTCGCTCCCGTCATTTAAGTACCTACCCTACCTACCCTACTCTACCTATCCTACTCTACCTACCCTACCTACCCTGCTCTATCTACCCTACTCTGCCTACTCTACTCTGCCTACCCTACTCTACCTACCCTAAATACCCTACTCTACCTACTTTACTCTACCTACCCTACCTACCCTACTCTACCTACTCTACCTACCCTACCTACCCTACCTACCCTACTCTACCTACCCTACCTACCCTACTCTACCTACCCTACCTACCCTACTCTACCTACCATACCTACCCTACTCTAC